AAAAGAGTGGCGGTGGAAAACCCTTTGTCCAGGGGTGGACACACACACACACACACACGTGTATTGCATCATATTGCCGCAATTGCCGACCTGTATCTCCCATACTCTTTCATAAACGTAGATGCAAGCATCAATTTGTCTGTCTTCCAAAAGGGTGGTCACTAACCCAACCATCTCCCCGGTATCCATGTTGGGTTCGCCCACTACTCAGTCACCACTCGCCCCCTGGTGCGGGCGCCCGCAGAAAGGCATGCAGCTCGGGTGCCGTGACCGACTTCACCGCGGTGAAGATGGGAACCTCACTGGATCGACCACCGGTGCTACGAACGTAGCTGGCAGTACCTTTGCTCCGTTCGTAGCGAACCTTGTTCCAAGTAAGGCCAGGAGCTACGAACGTAGCTTCTTGCTCCTAGTAGCGATGCCCTTTGTTCCTACTAGCTTCTTGTTACTAGTAGCGATGCCCTTTTGTTACTAGTAGCTTCTTGTTTCCAGTAATGCCCTTAGCTACTAGTGCCTCCGGCCGAAACGGGAAGGACTGTAAAAAGTCCCCAGTGCTGCAGTAACGGGGAGTCATTCCGACGGAGCAAGAACCTGTTGGCTGATCTGTTCGGAATGGATCCCGCTCTTCTCACCAGCGAACAATGATGTTGAAAGCCTCCATAAAACAGGAAACGCACATCAAATAACTGCTGAAAATTGCTGCCCCTTATGGTATGGAGTATGGGTAGATGGAGCCTGGATCATAAGAAAATGCAATACACTACTGGATATGCTCTGTTGAATACCAGGGACAAAGTTGATGTTCTCCTGTACACCAGGGAATCCAAGTCTCGCTAAGTTGAGAGACGCAACATCATAACAAACATCCCCAGTATCACGGCCACAAAAGCTGGTTGAAACGTGGAAGATCATCTGCGCTGTCTGACACAGCTGAGGGCTGGGCGAAAAGTCCTGAGCATGCGAAACGGGCTCCAGCGTATGCAGAACGACACTGTCCGGAGCCGACCAAACGACACGCCGCTTTTTGCATGAAACACACCAGTTGATCGACCTCCGAGGAAAAACCACCGCCTCCGCCTCTTAGTCACCTCACTAGTCACAATCAGCTCATCCGTCGTCCATGCGTCGTCCGTCCGGCCCCGGGGCCTTCGGTCCAAAGACTGGAGAAGAAGATCGCCGCCCAATCCTTCGCCTTCGGTCCGCAGGTCGGGTCGGTGCGGGTGCGTAGCAGCTGGCGGATTGGTGGAATACGGAGGTCTCCAGTCTGTTCTCCCTCTCAATCCTGGCTCAATCCCCTTCCTGGGTCCTGTAAGGTTCCAGTTCCATCATATTACCCATCATCACATAGTTAACGAGTAAAAGAGTGCTTGATCATCGATCGTTGAATTATCAGAAAAGCACTATATACATTAGTGTATCTGTCGATGCCACTGCCTGGACTGACAAGGAAAACTCCTTCCCGCCTTGGCAGCAATTGAGGGACCCAGTTGCTCATCATCCACCTGGGATGCTGAGAAAGGACAAAAAAGTACAGTAAGTACGTAGATCTACCCTTCATTGATGGGTTAACCGGAAATACCATTTCATTCAACACACGCAAATGCACTTGCTCTGATTATAATGGTGACTCTGACGTGTTCTGACAGAAACACACAAAAGGCCCGCCCCTTTCAACACCAGCAAGAAGGGCCAGCAAACAATATCAAACAGCAAACAAATTACTGCATACAATTGTCGCATTATTTATCCATCTGTCCATGTCTCATCTCATGTCTGTGTTTTTTGCAGTGGTGGCAGTTCAAACCTGTTCCCACCTCTACAGCCAATACATGCTCCCAATAAAACGCACCCCATGTCGCATGCGATAAAACAAATAGTCGTTGACCGCTTCCCGTGTCCCATGTGGCAACCGGAGCTTTTGTTCCCATGCAACTCCCGCCGCTTTTCAGCGGGACAAAACATGCATGAATGCTGCATGAAAAGGCGAACTACGTGGTGACTCCTGTGGAAACAGTGCAAATTGGGAGCAACATGGCGCAGCCTACATCATTTTTTGAGCAGGTCATCACTGCAATACTTCTCACCATTTCCACCCTACAATGGCTCCCCAAACCACTCAGCACTCTCAGTACTCGTGTTCCACTCACGCTGCGGCGAAGCTGGAGTGCGAGTTCCGGCACTGCGGGCATCGGCTGCGGCTTTCGGACCTCACCGGCATCGTTGGGAGCGCGGTGTTGGCTGTTGATGGAAGGGGACGCAAAGCCTATATGAAAATAAGGGTGAGGTGGAAAGCTGAGCTTGTACAGCATCTGCGAAATTGAATGAAGGATTGAATTGGATCGTATGAGCTGGCCACTTCGAGTCCCCAGAGGTCTGAGAACGAAGCTGGAAGCAGTTTGGACGTTTGGTCCGCATGAAGTGGACCAGGTCACCACTCACCCAAGACAACAAATTTACGGACGAGGTGGGGCAAATACATGAAAATACCACAAAATACAACCACATCTGGGTTTAGCTGGTTTAACTTAGGCTTAGACCATTTGGATCAATTTTGTCTCATCCAACCGTGTCTTTCATCCGTTTTGGCGCACCCTTCGTCTGGGAGCCAGTGCCCAGTTGTCCTGAGCTTCACTCTTTTCTTCACCGTAGCCCCCTGCTAGGGCCGTTTGTTCGGCATCCTGTTTGGACCGAGGGCTCCGACGGACCGACCTTGGCGGGTCTTTCCGTCTCCAGGGCACTCGCTGGAGAGGACACCCTCAAAGCAGTCGCTGTGATAGATATGGTTACACTGCAAGACCTCAGTGAGGAAAGGGACGTTCTTTCGGCAAACCTGATTCGTTTGGACTTATTGTGCTGAAGCAAGTCATTGGCACAACGTGTGTGCCAAAAACTGATCAGAAGTCCCCTTCAAAAACGGAAACGGCATCACTTGCGGATACATGCCCAGTTCCTGGCCATGATGGCGTTTAGTGCTTTGGGAGATGCGGAGATGCTTGTCCTCATCTGACCAAAGGTTGATTTTCCCTTTTGACCCTCTATGAACCAGAAAGTCTTCAAGTCCTCCTTGAAAGTATGGAAAGGACCTGCATGGACCCAAAGCTTCTTTCTTGGAAATGCCTGAACATGGCGGATGACTTGATGGCGACTGTCGAATCTGAATCTGTTCTTTAGGATCATAGCTTCTCCCATTTTCTAGGACCTAGGAATATCTCGAGTCAAAGTGGAGACATTCAAGCAATGAACCAATCGCAACGAGTTCAAGTTGCCGTCCCAAACGATCCGATGCTGTTCGGGTTTGACCGGCCACAATTTGTTGACGTGATGCGATCTGAGGGCGGCCGTTCTCCAAAGAGTCCAAGCAAATAGCACAAATCTCCTTGCCCTCGGCCTCAGAGCATCAAGGCGAATGAGGACGGGTTCCTTGTAATTGGTAAGGGAAGACTGAAGGGGAAAAAAACGAATCATCCGAATGGTGCATGGTTGTTATGCAGATTCATGCAGATTCGTACTTCATGATGTAGGCCTTTGTTCCCTTTATCCAGATACCTCCATAAAGCCTAGAACGACCAAGTAAAAAAGGAAGCAAGTCTTCCAAAGTCTTTTGCAGGTCGCTGGGTGGAAAGTCTTGCCAATGAGTCCTGAGGTGGGCACACATCAGTCACACTAGGAAACTTCACAGGTTCGCAGGTCTAGACTCTACACAACTTCACTGGGCGACACGGTGGTACTCAGATTCCTGAGCCTTTCTAACTAGGAACCCCTCAAAATCCCCCTGAAGATCCTTGAAGAGCAACTGACATCCTCATATAATTCTTCGTTTGCTCACTCTTAACTTTCTCAGATGCTCCCCTTCATAAATGCTTCCTTGATACTTATTGACACAACTCTGGATGACACAAATAATGACAGATTCTAATAACTCAATATATATATATGCCTATGGATTGTATAGTAACTCAATATATATATATATATGCTTGTGGATTATATCATTGATAGTGCTCCATAAACATTTGATAATCTTGATGAATCTTGTCTTCTCTCCTACTGGCATTTTGTCTTGCAAATGGATGGTATGTCTTTTTCTTCCTCCCTTCAGCTCACCACATCTCCCCGCATTGTAGTCCACGGCACGTGCCCTTTCAGCGCGGCCCGGTAGAGTCGTGCTTTCTCGGGCAAGGACAGGACATTTTCCTCGGAGGCGCCACCAGGCGCCGGGCGACGTTCATTCTTTTATGGGGACACATATCAAGCGGGGATCAACTGCTCTGCATTGATGTTGTATCAACTGCTGTCTGCATTGATGTTGTATTGCTGTCGTTGTCATTTTCACTCTTGTAACGCTTTGGCACGTAACACCTGTAGTATGATGGTAGAAATGTTGGCTTATTGCAGTTTTACCACTCCTTTTGGATTCCCCAAGTCCAATCAGTTCGTGACCATCGACCATCCACTGCTGCTGGCACCCACTATATACCTCTACTCCTTTCGTCTTGTCGCCGCTGTGCCGCTCCGCGCCGCTCCGCGCTCCGAGCGTCGCAGAGATTGGCCAAGTTCGTGAGGATGTTGATCTCCACGCGCCGGTCTCCGATGCGACGGGCCAGCTTCAAGGCCGCCTCATACTGGCCTTGCGCCTCCTGGTACCTGCACCCGGCAGACGGTCGCCCAGTTACACCAGAGTTCGGTTAAAAGATGTTTAAACTGGCACAAAACCAGAAGAACTGCATGCAGAAGTCCGGGGCCACTCATGTGTTGATTGGAACGATATGATCTGATATGGTACGTAATGTAACGTATTTATATATGTACCATGCTGAGTCATCCGTACCGGGAGCTCAGCCGGATCAATCTCTTGCGGTTTAGATCAGCTCCGCCTCTCATCTGCACAAAGAGCTGAGGCATAATTGGCCAAGAGTGTCACCTCGGGTACTCGGTAGTGACAAGTGATTTGGGAAACACCTCTGGCATGCTTCTCGAGCCGAGGCCTGTCGACGCCCAGCACCCGAGCAGTACCCACTGTCATCTGCCCAGCAGCCACGCTGTGGGAGTTGCTGCCATCGTGGAGCTTGATGGCTTTCTGGAAGTGCTCGAGACATTCCTGGGCAAAAACACTGCTTGGTGGCTTCAACCTCCCTGAACAAAAAGAAAACTAGTCCGTGGGATAATATGATTACGGGCTGCACATTGGCATACAAGCAATATTAAGCCAGAACCAGAACACCTCCGGAACCCGCTTCCCGCTCGTGGGTTCGTTTGGTCACCAAGACCAAACTCCCAAATTACATCATCCCAGTCAAACTTTTGAAGGGCCAACCTGCCCTCTTGGGATTAGAGAGGTGTATAATTCTAACAGTTTGGATATGTTTGGATATTGTTTAGTTCTGGTAGCAACACCTAAAAATCAAGATCCTCCAACACACTAATCGTTTCCCAAAACCGGAACGATCTCCAAGCATCTGCACGACGGCCATCCATCTGGCCCAGGCACATGCCCAAGTTGCCTCGTCGACCCGAGGCAAAGCTCGACGGTAGATGTTTTTCCACGCTACTAGGAGCAAAGGGCATCACTACGGGGATGGTCAAATACCGCCTCCTCTGCTGGAACTGGTGGACTCAAAGTTTCGCGCAGGGTTACAGGGTGGCAAGGACCAAATATAAAACTACACCTGTCTTTGATGGGTACGAAACTTGCTGTATAAGGATCTCAAACAACTAAATTACATTAGTCAATTATTGTTATTGTTCATTTCCTTGTGTCGGTTGCAGGTTGGTGCTGTTCTACTTGTGCCAAGCCGTGGGAGTGTACTCATCCGCAGCTTGCAAGATGTGAAACCAAGTTCCAGGTCCTTATGATTCAAGAAATTGGACGGCTGTATTGTATTTGATTTAGAACAATTTCATTTCTATGATGATCTATGATGAAATGGCACGTTGATCTGTGATTTTCTGCAACAGCAACAGCTAGTGCCGTGGCCTGAAATGCATAGATTATCTATGCCCACTACACCACCTGTCCTCCTACCAAAGCCAGCTGTGGCCTTCGGCAATGGCCTCCTCATGTGAGGACAACACACGTTTCGCCAGCATCAGCGACTGGAAATACCTCAGCGGTCGCATGAGACATGATGGGACGACGTGACGTCCCGCTCCGTTTCGATCCCGTCTCCATGGAAGGAGACGTGAGAACTGCGACCTGATTTGGATAAACGGAACGTGAAACGGAACAAGGACATACTGCAGCGACATACTGCCCCTACTGCAGCGACATACTCACGGCTATGTGAGCGACATTCAAAATGAATTTACAAAATAGGTCTTACAGTATACTATGTCTTCTCTCCTTAGGCTTCGTTTTTGGCTGTCCAATGTTTTCTGGCTTCGTTCTCCTTTGGCTTGGCATCGATACATATCGATACTACAAGTATGTCCTGTGTGTTCATAAACTGACTTAAGTAGATTGATTACCACCTTGTTAATCACAGCACCACCACATCATCGTTCAAGAGTGCTGGGGGCAATCAATTCCAATATCCTATCCCAAACACATTGGCCAATGTCTACTTCGTCACGTTTTGGTGTGTTTTGACTTCGTTTAGGGGTCGCTCCAAAGCCACTCCATGTTGGTCTCCCTCAAGACCAAAAACAAAACGAAAAGGAGAGTTCCAGCAGGCTTTGCTTTTGGTTCTTGAGCTTCGTTTTCGCCCAGTGCCAATTCTCCCTCCATGCGACCATGTTATAATTTCTTGAACGCTTTTGCATGTGGTTCACGTCCACATCAGTCAATCTGTAGCTCCCAAAATGAGTGCCGTCCGAATGTCAAAGGGACAATGCGTGTCTAAAGATGGGGTGAATGACACGGGCGGCAGATTCGGCGCAATGCCCAGGAACTGACTGCACGACATAAGTATATACCTACTAAAGCACTTTTAATACTTCCTCGACCATCTTTTCCTTCGTTTTTTTCACAATTTTTCCGCCCACACCGTCTCTGCCCCCAGGGTACAAATGTTCGGCATCTTCTAGGTTCTCCATCCTCACCTGGCGTCCATGTCCCGAATCGCAAGAATAACTGACACATACCAATTATAATATACTAGAATTGATGTATGATCTATGAGAAGTGCTTCCGCTTGGATTCCGATCATGATGATGCTCGACACCTTTACCATGCAGGGAGTGGACAATGTCATCCCTGTGCGTCCCTTTTGTGTACTCTACCATGTGAACGCAGCTTCTAGGAAGTCATCCCTTCATCCCCTCGACTTTGTCATTTGCCCGTACATGGCGATGTTTCCGCAGGACTAGGGAAGCTCCAAGATAGAGGCCCATCTGCCTGCGCATCGCCCAGAAACACCCACGTGCATCGAAGTGGAACCTTCGATGGGAGCTCTATCGCCCGTCGCGCCTCGTGGGAGCCCATCCCAGTGAGCACGTTGAAGGACAACTGCATGTCCTCAGCTGAGCATGTCCCCGCCCCGACTTGAACGTCAAACATTTTGTTACGTCTCGCGAATGGCGTGCCCTGCGCGTGCGGGCTCTCAATGACCTGGCTCAAACAAAGGATCGATGGTTCGAACAAAAAGAAGCTTCGTAAATTGAACATGGTGGCACAAAGATTGTCCCGCAAGTGTTTTGTTTTCGGACGTTGAAGTTTGCCAAAACCAACTGGATTCCAAACCTTTCCAAACCATGTTCTGAGCTCTTGAGCCCATCAATCTTGCCCAAACCAGACACATTTCTGATATAAAGAGTCGCCAAGAGGCGTCGTGCTTGTGGGCCAATCGCATCGCCTCCTTGTAAGCCGAGTGGATCTCCTCCGGCGGAGGGCCCGGTGAAACAGTGGTGGATGACGGAGAGAAACGGCGGTGGGCTCAAGAGTCCAGAAGAAAAGGACATCAGATCCTCAGATCCAGATGGAGTCCGTCGATGTGAAGCACTGAGTTACATAAAACACATATAAATAAGTGCCACGCTAGTAGTAACAGGTGCCTTACTAGTAGTAACAAGAAATATCTATATAAACAATAAACGATGGATGGGAGGGAGGAGGAACATCAAGCGGACCTTTTAGACCGTGGGTTAGGGGCATGGCATTGAGAGGTGATGGAGCAAAGACTTTTCTGGTCTTTGTAGTGATGCGGTTCGGGATGATGGTGGGCCTGAACGATTGGAGAATGGCTTCTGTTCAAGTGAACATATGCCGGTCCTTGCAACGTAATGTATACCCTTGGAATCCATTGATTTTAAGCCGGGTATCTCTTGGCCTAGTCACCTGTTGAGTTTGCATGCGTCAATTGAACTTGCAGAACTATAGTTCATTGCGGTTGATGAGGGAACTTGTGGGGACTATAGTAATTGATGTACCCCTTAGTTGTTTATAAAGAAATATATACATTTGTTAAGTGTCGTCTATAAATATACCCTTGCTACCAAACAAACACACCATAAGTTAATGCTATCATCTCAAACTGAACCAGTGGCATTTCATCTTCTTTCCCGGCTGAACCGAGTGGTTTGGGTATCGCCCCTTGCCCAACTCCGAGCCCCGAACCTCCGTCGGCGTGTTGAGCTTGTCCAATGCATTGGCTAACAGCCGATACGCTTTCCCCTCCTGAAACGAGACATCGATGATGGTTGATGTCCAAATGGGGAACAGCTGAAAGTTTGCAAAAGAACACATGGTCACCCGGAGCATATTTAAGCCTAGCGTTTGGTTAATAGGAGGGTCAGCATTTGTCACTTTGGGGATGTGAACTTCTGGGTTTTGGAGATTGACAACAGTTAATTTATGTGGTGCTAGGATTCATACAATGAAGAACACTTAGACATGGGCCATCAAAGTCACTTGAAGTTCTCCTGCCATGACTGACATGAATTCTGGACCCCCACAGTCTCAACTCACTGCAAAAACCTCTGGAGTTCTCCAAAGCATAGACAGGTGTGCTTTGGTCGAGCTTGGTGTCCCCCTCCGCAACCCCCTGCAGCATCATCTGCTCTTGCCCGCTCGCATGCTGGAGGGCCAACGTGCCTCTTTGCCCAGCTGGGCTTCGTTGGCTTTGCGCCGCATGCGTTCGAAGCAGCCCTTGGCTTCCCGGAAGTCGCAGGCATGGAAGAAGCGGACGCCCGCCTGAGAACACACACATCCATGGAGAGACCGTGGATGCGAAGGTGGTGGGCAGTGTGGAAAAAGTGTTTCAAATTGTCAGCGATCCGGATTTGCGTTGGTTTAATAAGTTTAATATGTTCCGCCGGTAGGCAACTAGCTAGATCTGGAGCAGCTGCTTGACTTGAAGTGTCCAAAAAAAGTACGTTCCCGTCGTTCGCCATCTGCTGCCCACCCGCGATTCCCAACGCCTGCTCCTCTCGTGCGATTTCCTCCGAGGCCTTGGTGTGAGGAGCAGGGCGGAGGAGGGCCACTTGAACACTGAATTTTGAATCACTTCATATCACGTACTTCTATGACCTTTTGGCCGGTGAGTCTCCACCATGTTGTTTGGAGTTTGGTAATGTTTTCGGAACGTCGGAACGTTGGTCCCTTTTGAGGAGTTCCCCACTCTCAGCTTTGCAGGAAGGACAGATTACAGTATATACTATATATTAATTATACTGTACACTGTATACAAGTCTTACAAAGAGCATAATAAAAGAGCCAACAAAGCACCCAACCGACATCAACCGACCATCATATCACCGACCAACACCCCCAATCACAGCCTACTGCCTGAAAAAGGGTCCGATCCTCCCTCTTCCCATCTCCTCCCTGAGGCGGCCACAGAAGCGGTCTCGGCCACAGCAGGGGTCGTCGTCTGCGGCCTCACCTCCGGCTTCGTTGAGTCGGTTTTCTTCGCCTCGGAGCCGAGGAGCTGCTGACTCGCGTCCAATGAGGCCTACTCGTAGGGTCCTGGTGGGCTGGGGTCGGTGAAAGGCTGATTGGTCAAAGAGGCCTATATATGTTTCTTTCAAATCAGTTCGCTCTGGCTGAGGGGAGCGGAGCACCCGTCCCTACGTCGTCACCAATGAACCGTGAGGTCCAACCCCCGTCAACCGCCTTGATGCCGGACCCAGGCCTTCTTGGGCGCTTTGTTCAGGAAACCACGGGCCAGTCCCGAGTCCTTCGGACATCGAAGGTCCGTGGGTCGTGGGAGGAAGTGGATGCATCTCGACACCGCAACAAATGGGCATGCACAGTGTTCTTCGGTTTCCAGGGAAGGTCTACACTTAAGGCGGAGTCTCTTCATGTTCCAGCAGATCTTTCATACCAACGATGAACCCTCCAAAGGATGGAATCATCGGAATTCAAATTGTTCGGATAAATATTTTCAACACCAACGACAAAAACCATTTTGTGGTATGACCGCACTTCAAGTGGAAACTGAAGGGGCAAGAGATCCAAAAACTGAAGACGTTTTCGCGTCAATATTAGCCTATTATATCCGGCCCTGTATATATAGTATATGTTTGTGTGTATTTTGTGTATATATTAGAAAATATCCCGGCAAGACACCCCAAACAGTGTGGTGTAGTAGCATTGGGGTCCAGATGAAGGTGGAGATCGTGAGAGTGAGAGTGAGTGTGGGTGAGAGTGAGTGTGGGTGAGAGTGAGAGTGCGAGGCAGTGTGAGAACGAGAGTGGGTGGGTGAGTGAATGTGGGTGAGAGTGAGAGTGAGAGTGGGTGTGCGTGCGAGTGACAGTGAGTGTGAGTGTGAGAGTGAGAGTGGGCGTGAGGGTGCGAGTGCGAGTGCGAGTCCGGGAGAGTGAGTGAGAGAGTGAGAGAGGAGTGAGAGTGAGTGTGAGTAAGAGTGAGAGTGAGAGTGAGTGTGAGTGAGAGTGAGAGAGAGGGAGAGAGAGAGTGAGTGAGAGTGTGAGTGAGAGTGAAAGTAGAGTTTCAGAGGTTTACAGAGGTCTAGAGAACACACATCTGACAGCACAATGTTCACCTTTGATAAAAAAAACGTCACTAGAATAATGTCTTGTTTCCTGCACTGATGAATAAAGGCCACAGGAATAATTGTATTTTTACTATCTGGTTTTATGATTTTGAAGATCTTTGGATGCAAATGTCCATCAATAATGGGAGATTTCCATTGAGATTTGATGACTTTGAAGTTTTTCCTTTTGTTTAATCTTAAAGTCTTCCAAAAATTCCCAAAAGTATGCGCGCACTTCCTTACAAAAATCTGATTCAAAAACCATGAAAAACACAAATCTTTCCAGAAAGGGGGTAGTCCAACAAGCAAGTTTCTGTCATTATTTAGCGGTGGGCAAAATAATGCCTCTTGGATCGCAGCTTTCCTGAAACTGATGTTCAATCTTTGTGCTTACTTTTCCTTTTGATCAAGCCCTTGACTTGTCATTGTATCTATACTGTAAGTCTTCCAAACATTTCAAAAAGTATGCGCGCACTTCTTTACAAAAATCCTTAATCAAACACATTGAATAACAAAGAACCATTCCAGCAAAGGGGGTAGTCCAGCAAGCAAGTTTCTGTCATTGTTTTGGGGGGGCCCTAAAATAATGTCTCTTGGATTGCAGCTTTCCTGAAACTGATCTTCAATCTTTGTGTTTGCTTTTCCTTTTGATCCAGTCCTTTACTTGTCACTCTCTTTAATCTTTAAGTCTTCCAAAAAATTGTTTTTAAAAGCAAATGTCCTCAATCTTAGGCTTTGATCCTTTCATTCTATTATTGCAGATGTCTTCAATCTTGGTTCCTTTCATTGCCAGAGTAGCTCCAGAGGTAGCAAAGTAGGGATTCTTTATGTATTCATCAACTGATTGGCTTTCTAATATACTTTTTTCGAGGCCTTGGTTGTTGAGGGGGGTTGGTTCACGCGTGCGAGACCACAGGTCTAGTGGTCAAGACAATGCTGTGGACTTACTCGTGAAAACACTTTTGGTTCACTCATACTCTTACTCAGTTGGATTTTGAACAAACTTGTTTCTAATCACGTTTAATCTTATTTGCGCCATTTGTAATCTCATTGAACCATTTCCTAGCATGGTTAATCTTATATTTGTGACATCTGTGACAATTTCAAACAGTTTAAGCTGAAATAAAATCAACTATATGAAAAACAATTTCAAATGCGAAAAGGATGAGCCAGGGTGCCCTCAAAGGGTGCCCATCTGGAGGGTCATCTTTAGTTTGCTGAATAAAGCGCTGACACCAGCTCCCGAAACTTTCCAGCGCCATTGCCTACTCTCGGGCGGGCAATCTGTAGCAACACGTTGGACTTTAAGCTACGAAGGCCCTTCACAGCACCCTCACCTTCGAGGTTGCGCACACGATCAGCACACGCAATCCAGGTTTCACTTTCAGTTCTCTTCTGCCATTGAATTCGCCAGTTCTCTTTGTTCTCTATTGGCTCAACGAACCACCTGTGACCATGACAATCTCGGCTGCTCATTTTCATAAGCGGGCCGGTGACCAATAGCATCGACACTTCAGAAGTACCAACCTGCTTGCAACTCCAAGTATCTAAGCCCTTCTGAGCCAACTCTTGGCTTCCGGCAGCTCGAATCCAACCGAGGAACGTCTTTCAAGGCAAATCGAAAGGCTTCATTGTCATATACCTCTCTTCACATCGAAAATGCAAAACTGCCGTCGGTACCGGCTTAGGCAAAGTCTGGCTGGCAATAGCATCTTGTTTGAGTTTCGGGCCATCCTTGTGGGAAGCGATGACAAAGGCTTTCCGAGGAGACATTTTAGTCCCCACATTCTCTGGAACAGAGCGCAATGTGCATAATGGGCGAGTCATCCATGTGCATATCACGGCATGCGAGCAGACTAGCTGTAGTCTTGACGTTTGGTCGGCCTAGAAGCACTGCTTGGATTTCGTGAACCTGATCCTTACCATGAAGAGGCACGACGCATTGCCTGGCACTATCAGCATCCAACGGGAAAAAACAACGCGTACGAATGCGCTGGAGCTGTCCAGTCATTGGCCCACAGCGTCCATTGCACAACGTTCCAAGTATTCCCCTGACTTGTTCTGCAAGAGTGCTCAGGACTTGTGCTGGAAGAGTCCTTAGTAGCTTTCTGAAAGTCGTCAGGCCGACGAGCAGGACCATATATGTATCCCGCCACGAGTCATGTAGCAGCTGTTTCCTTGCCTGGCTGAGCGCCGGGAGTGTACGCCCGGTCCGGAGCAGGGTTGGTGCTTGTGGCTTTTTCTTCTTTGGAACACTACATTCATGACCAATAGTCTGCCAAAAAAAACCAGCGCTCTTGCGAACAGGGCGTTCTTTTTTCATGGATTGCCTGGGCCAGGGTTCGAGGCCGAGGCTTCACCGACCCGGCAACCTTTCAGATGGTCAAACGAAACAGTCTTGCTTGGAAGCAAATCAACGCCAAAGTGAGATCGAAATCTGCTTTGGAGCCTGACTGAACACAAATCATGGGCATCAGGAAGATGCCTGGCACATCTTGCACGGTGACGCAATCTCCACCCCGTTCGGAGGTAATTGCATCGTCGGCTAGCGACAAATACCCTACAGGCTGCAACGACTTCTCGTGAACCAGGGCTCCGAATGTCATTTTCAAAGGGGCCGCGACTTAATTTTGTATGTTTTTGATTTTTTTGCTTTTCGTGTTTCGTGGCAGGCGCAGTACTTTGTGGACCTTGCAATGCACATTTCGTGGCAGGTGCCGGACTTTGTGGATGTGGAAGTGCAGAGTTGGTGGCAGGTGCAGGACTTTGTGGGCCTTGGAGTGCAGATTTTGTGGCAGGCGCAGGACTTTTTGTGGACCTTGAAGACTTTGTGGGCCAGATTTCGTGGCAGGCGCAAGACTTTGTGGACCTTGAAGTGCAGATTTCGTGGCAGGTGTAGTACCTTGTGGATGTTGAACTGCAGACAGACAGATAGAAAGATAAATGGATCGATAGATACATAGATAGATAGAGGAGGCATTTTTGCTTGGTTAAAAAGTTTTTGCGCCGGGGAGTTCACCTAAAAATATTGATTTCGTGGCAGGCGCGGGTGTTGGGGATGAAGTGCAGATTTCGTGGACCAGTTGGAGCTGGGGGGGGGGCGCGGCCCCCCCCCAGCAGCACACCAGATCCAAAGGTGAGCAGCTCGCGCTTGCTTGCTTGCTTGCTTCCTTGCTTGCTTGCTTCCTTGAAAGAAAGAAAGATAGTTAGATAGATAGATAGATATAGATAGACAGATAGATAGATATAGACAGATAGATCGATAGGCCGAAAGGCCAAAAGCCACAAAAGCCACAGAAGCCACGAAAGCCAAAAGCCACAGAAGCCACAAAAGCCAAAAGCCACAGAAGCCACAGAAGCCACAGAAGCCACGAAAGCCAAATGCCACAAAAGCCAGAAGCCAGAAGCCACGACAAACAAAAAATAGAAAAAGAAAACAAAAAAGTCCAAAATTAAATGGCCCTCCTTTTCAAAGCCACGCGCAGCCCACACAGTACAACCATGCAAAAAAACAAAATCAACACACTTCACGACTCAAGCGCATTCTAAGTTCGATCGCGAAATCGAGACACTTGCAAGCATTGACGTGGCAAGCGCACTCCCAAGCGGCCATAAAGCTTCTGCTTCCAAATTCGGACGCGCAACCAAGGAGTGGTCCCCCATGGGAGTGACAAGTCCACTCCCAAACAACAAAGAAGCAAAACATCTTGAAGATCTGGATCCAAATCTCACCAGGCGGTCTTCCAGTAATTAGGCACTATTTTGCGAGCCTGCGCTGCGCAGTCGAAATGCACGTCTACGATTTCGAGAGACATGAATGTACTGTAAATAGCAGCGAATTAGCCGGCGCAGCCCACTCGATCTAAGCCCGGTGCTTAACACCTGCCGTAAGAAACCCTAAGTGTGTCCACACTGTTTGGGGAACAACATGTATTATATAATAATTACTTGCGCAATTACTATATATGTTGACCCCACCAGAACCGCGAAACACTCCCCTGCCCCTCCTCCCTCTTGGGCCGAGCTCGTGCGGGCGTCGCCACCGGCGGCACGGCGTCCGGCACCACCACGTCCACCGCCGCCTTGGGCTCCGGCGCCGCCTTGGGCTCCGGTGCAGGTGGCACTGAGCTGGGCTCCGGTGCAGCTGAAGCGACCTTAGCTGCGGGTGCAGTGGAAGCTGGATTGCCCAAAAAGTATAGGGTTATATACAATCTGCAGAGTCTCAGTGCAACCTTCGTGGAATTTTTCAGTGTGGTCTTGAGATACCGAGATACCCTTATTCAGTATATCGTTAGTATTAGTACAAACTGCGGCGGTCCTCAAAATGGTCGGATTAATGTTGAGACACCTCATTGTCGAGTGGATAAGCGTATGTTCAGTTGAGTGTGATATATATATACACCCACAAAAAGTGTGTTTGTTTTAAGGTGTTTTGTCTGGCTCATCCAAGAACAAATCTGCCTTAATGCAAATGTCCCCATTAAATGTCAAAAAGGAAGACCTCACTCAGACTTTAGAAGTTTCAGAAGCGGGGTCTGGATCGGTTCGTGAAAGAATGCCCACATAAAAGCAGGCATCTGCCGAAAGTCTGTAGTCTCACAGGTCACTGTTTGACTCGTTACTACTCTCGTTACGCTCTTCAACTGGAAAACACCCGCCTTCCCAGCAACTGACTTTGTTCGACAGGTCCCAGTCGTTCTTCCCGTTTCTTTCCCTCCATGCTACTCCATGGACTCTGTGGCTGCAGGCAGTCCTGATGATCACACTGCCTATATATCGTTGGTGTTGCGCAAACCCGAATATAAGGGCTGTACTCAGGCCTTATTCGGAAAACGCAAATAAATCACAATGACTGTCTTTGGGACCCCACTATGCGCTTTCCTTTCCCAGACCAGGACATCGTGGTGCAATCCTATATTTGATCCTCTGGCGAACAAATCCGGCCATCAGCCCCGCAAGTTTGCACGCTGTAACGGATGCACACCGAGCTTCTTCACGCACATCTGTGGCATCGGTTGGGGCAAGAGCCTAGAGGAGCATGATCGAGTGAGGGCAAAGTAAGGTTCATGAATTCATGAGTCATTCCCGAGTGGATGTATAGACTTCCCAGATTGCTAGAAAAATCAAAAGCACACGTTTAAAAGTTACACGATAATATTCTAGCTATGTCCTACGTAGTCCAGGACAATCAGCACACTCTTGGACTCAAACAACATGTTGGGGTGCACTCACCTTATGTGTTTGCAAGAAAATAGTGTGTTTTCCGAAAAATCACCCCCCCGACACACACACATACTCATCATGGTCAAAAGGGGATGTTCCCAACACCTGACATTTTCTGGCAAAAAGTACCCCGGTACAGGACACGTGTTCCCATATGCCTTGTCCATCATCCTGTGGACATGTCATGTGTGGATCGACACTGAACGCCAGTTACGGGAATTCATAACGATTCGTTCCGACACCCTCCACGCTCAGAAAACCGCTTGATGGGACATGTTGAACATGACCCCTTCCGAAACTCAATGTTCCACTCCTATACCATTCTGAATTTGTTCAGCATTAAGAAAAAGAACACCCCGCATTCAAGAAAAGGACACCTCAACCCAAATCCAATCCTTGAGCTTCCTTTGCCTCACCAAACAACGTCATGTTTCCCCGGCAAAAAGCAACACGCTTCGATCCTCGACCATCGCCCATGTCGCCTCCGGACCACTCGTCGCCGCCGCCGCCTCCAGCGCCTTCGGAGTCGTCCGCCGTCGCCGCCACACGAGGAGCGCCAGCACCAGGCCCAGCCCGGTGGCGAGCGCTGCCCACGCGCGTGAGCCGCCCATGGCACCACGGTGGTGTTGGGGAGCCGGAAGGCCCGGAAGGCCCGGGATCCTGGTTTTGGGGTGTTGATCACTGTCATGTTGAGGCCACGGCAGGAGGCAGCGAGAGGTTCAATGTGTCTTTTTAAACGTGGAAGGACCACAAAAAGGAGCATCGTAGTGATGTGTTGGGTTATTGTGTCGCAGGTTGTTCAGTTGCAACCTCAAGGCAAACTGTCACGTGCACTGCTGGTTCATGCTGGTTCCCAATAACCGTGTGGGGTAAGACTGCACGGTGCGCAAGTTCAAGCTGGGAGCCAAGAAGTCTGATGTCTAACGGGTTTCTGAGTCAAGTCCTTTGAAGTCTTTCCCTTCAGGTCTTTGATCTGCTAGTCCATGCTAGTCCATTGAAGCCTTTGAAAGGTCAAGCTTATTCATAATGCCCTGTCGAATCTGTAGACAGTCAGCGCAACACTTGGTTTCCACGCCCGCAGCAAACCCAACACCATGTGGAACCTGGGCGCGATGATCTGCAGAAGGTACGACCCCCCCACTGTCACTTCGCAGCCATCGGAGCGAACGTTCGAGTCACGGTCAAGACACGCGACGAATCGCAGGGACTCCGCACAGGCAACCGTGTTCTGAGAGCTGCTTCAGGCAGCCTGCGGACTTGGAGATGGCGCTTTTCGTGTAAAGTGCTGCGAGTCTCATCTGGTTGTTTGGAGAGTATCGTATCAATTTCTTCGTGGGTTTCACGCCAGGGGGCAACAGTGGGACCAACAGTGGCCTCCTGCGAAGAGGTTCTGCAAAAGGAAGAACCCATGGTCCGGCCGCCGCCAACCTCACCGGGCTTGAACCCGTGGCGGAGGATGCGGAGGAGTCTGAGTGGATTGGCAGATGGCATTTCTCGTAACAAACACTGTGTAACTTTGGGGAAAACTGTTCACCTTCCATGCCCGAACAAACACAAACATAATTCCGGAACTCGGCCGAACAAACAAACATAAAACATGTTCTCTCTTGGATAATATTGCAGAATCAAAACATGCAAAAAAAAAAACAGTAACTAGTTTGGTCAAGTGTGGTTCTTGGTCGGGTTCGTGTTGTCCACGCAATGAGAGAGCTCCAACCAGGGAGGATACCTGTTTGACGTAATCAACCCGTCCACTGAAATCGAACCAATTCCCGGCTACGACTCGACCACAAATGCCGGATAATCACCCCATTGAGAATAGTAGGGGGTTCGTTGATTGTGACTTGCCTGGTTCTAGTTTTCCATTGGACTGTTCTTCTCTACGCCCATGCAGGCGCTGCCCGCGCTGTGGTTGGCGCTGCGGTCCGGGCAAATGGCCAGGACTGCAGCCAGGCCGTGTGGCCATAGGGCCTCCAACGCCTGTCCCAGTGGTGACATTAATAAAGATTAAACCTTCTGTCACAACACTTGTGGGTTCGGATTTTGGTGAAAAAGGATTGGTGATAAAACAAGATGGAACCCTCGAACCCGAATGCAAACACGTATTCGAAAACAAACACCCAAACAATTTTTGACACTCTTGTAGGAGACACTCTTGTGGGACCCATTTTTGGGGGACACCTTTGTGGGCCACACGGTGGTTGGTGTAAGCGGCGGTTGGTATACATGGTGGTTGTAAGCCGTAGTTTTGCGTAGTAAGCAGTGGTGGGTGCAAACCGTGGTTTGGTGTATAGGGTGGCGGGCGCAAGCCGCTTGTAAAAGGTCAGCGGTTGGAGTAAAACGTGTTGCGGTGTAAGCGGTGGTTGGTGTAAGCCGTGGCTTGGTGTCAACGGCGGCGCGTGTAAAAATGTGGTTTGTGGCGTCAACGGTGGTTGGTGTAAAGTGTGGCTTGGTGTAAAACTCTGTTTCAGATCTGCATCTGATGCGCTGCAGCAGCAAATCCAGATCCGAGCAGTAGCAGTGGACGCGCTGCGCGAATGCATATCTGAGCCGTCGCCCGAGAATTTGCTGACTCACAGTCAAGGTTTCCAAAACAAACGTTTCGCACGAGACTTCCTCCAAGTGTCACACTTCAAGTCTGCAAAAAAAAGCGTTTCGTACGAGACTTCCTCCAAAAGTCACGCGTCAAGTCTCCAAAACGAGCATTTCGTACGAGACTTCCTCCAAAAGTCTTCCTCCAAAAGTCAAGCGGGCAAGCAGTTTCGCGATTCCAGCCCCGCCAAACAATACCCGCCCACACGCCAATCGCAATGGTCACAGCGACAGCGACATTCACCTCCACCACAACTCGCGACCTCACGATTCCCTGTGCCTGGCATGAAAGTTTGCGCGTCCATGCCTCCAACACACGCACAAAGTATACTGCGCCTGCCACGCAATGTGACCTCGCAATGTGACCTCCGCCACACCTCGCAACCTCACGATTTCCTGTGCCAGCCACGAAAATTGCACTTCCACACCTCAAAGCCTGCGTCAAAGCCTGCGCAAAGTACTGCGCCTGCCACGAAAAGTGACAATATCATATCTTCGTAGCTTCAGCAAAATTAATTTGCACCACACCGAATGATTTCAACAATTTCTGAGTACACGACCATCCACCAAAATCACCATTTGAGCTGAGACTTGTCACGAAAACGCAGCTTTGATGCAACACCCTGAAACGCAGATCCCAATGACACAGCCACATCCAACACCCCAAAAACACCACTCCCCAAACGGCAATGGGTAGGATTGAGGAGCCATCACTTGCTTGCTTCGTGAGGGGTACCTTGCGTGACCAGATTTATAGTGCATGTGTGTCTAGGAATCTAAACAACCATGTCCACATTCACGCCTTGGTATTGGGCAAGGGTACAATACAGGGAAGCCCATCTTCTGGCCTGCGCGCAATGCAGGGATGGCTTGGCAGCATGGGTCTGGCTGGGTGGCCTGGACAAGGCCAACACCAAAGCTATGGCAGGCATGCCTGGCCTGAAAGAAGCCAACAGGAACACCCTGAAAGCAGGCAGCTGGATGCCCTGCTTGAGCAATTCATGATTTGCTCAAAAGAAGTCACAAATTTGATGACAAAAGCTTTAGGAGTCATTTGAGAAGAAAAATGAGGAGAGTCCTGGAAAGGGAAGGCTGGCCCATTCCCAAGTGGCTGAATGACTGTGAAGGTTTCTGCGTTTTGGAATTCAAAAGAAGTTGCTCACATCCCACCAAGAAGGTGATCAATGCTGCTCTAGACAAGATGGAAAATGAAGGGAAGGAGCGCAGTATATAGACCTTCCTGTCCTGCAGAAGGACCACCTCATTGCAGCCCAACCTCACCAGCAAACATTTCCAATGAGGAGGAGGTAATGAGGCGACGTGGTGGCAGCAATGGATGGAGTGATGTCTGATTTGGAGGAAAAGCACCCACAGCCTGTGAACGCAGCAAAAACAACAGCTGGCACAGTAGTGCCTCGCCTGGCAAGGCCTGACCCTGATGCTGAGATGAGTAGCAGCTCCAGCTGCAGCTCACAGCCAGATGTGGGTCAGCACCAAACCACCAATGTCAGCAAATCCTCAAGGAGCTGAGTGATGCCTTGCGGCTGGCCTGGAAAGGCCTTTGCGGCGCTCGCTGCTTGGCTTTGCTCCTGGGGAGCTGAGAAGGCCTGTACAGCCCATTGCCCAACAGGTGACTGCTGACTTTTGCTGCTACGGAAAAATGCGAGGAGGGTGGGGTTGGGTGGGCGTTCAACTTTGTTGGTGCGTCTTCTGGGTTTTGTTGGGTTTGGTGAACCACACAGAAGCCAATTTTTAGGTGGTGTCCAAACACCAAGAAACCACCAAACCGCACCAAAAGTTCAAGAATTGAACTTTTGAACTTTTCATTGACTTTTAAATTAAAGGGAAAGTAAAGGTTCAACAGTTCAATTCCTGAACTTTTGGCATGGTGGCTCCCACCTCTGGGGTCTGGTTTGGAGGTCCACCTCTGGGTCTGGCTTGGTGGGGTCTGGCACAGTTCTTAGGCCTGAGGCCTTGGCCTTTTGGTTTGCGTGGCAGCTTTTGGCTCAAGGAGAAAGGGTTGTTGCAACAATGGTTGCTGGCAGTAAGATGGCAAGGCCTGCAGCTTCCCCCCTAAAAGGGGAGTCGAGGGCCCTGAAGGCTGAGCCTAAATCACCAGCAGCCCCCAAAGCCCCAGCAAAGGCTGCTAGTGGCTGTGAACCAATCCCCAAAGATGCAGCCAAGAGGATGTCTTATCACCTCAAGCAGCACCCTGATCTGCAGAAGCAGTATCAACTCTGCAAGGGGCACCAAGAGAGGATAAAATTCTTCTATGACATATACTTGTTAGACACCAGTGTGTCTGAAAAGGCTGTCCTGAAAAGGACACAGAGGATACCAATGACATCGAAGATGTGGTAGATGACTGGATGACTGCAGAGGAGATTGCAGACCACCAGGGTATAAAACCCCATTTAGCAAATTATGAGCAAAAATGCTTGGCCCGTGTCAAAGGCCTGCCTGAAAGAGACCATGAGGACACCAATTTGGCCAGCATGGGAGTCAAACAGTACAAGTACTGTGCCAGCAAGAAATCCAAGCATCATCAAAAAGAGGCGACTGGAGTTGCAGGAGGAAGTGAAAGATGTCACCTCAGAGGATTTCGCTGCCATGAGGACCGCCGTGGCAGCAGGTCCTGCGCAGAAGCTGGTCACTTCAGGTGGCAAAAGGGGGGAAGCCTGGCACGCCCAAGAAGTTGGGGTGGAGTGGTACAAGCGCCAAGCAAAGAAGCTCAAACAACAGGTAACTTGCATTGGTAGTGAGTGTCACAGCCTGGATGTGTTGGTGACTTCCATTGAAGGCCAACCTGACTCTGAAATGAAGCCAATTGCTTTGAAGCATGGAGGCAACAGAAGGTGTGCGAGGCAGTGTGCCATATGCATCATCTGTCCCGGCTCAGCAGCGCGCTATGGCAGCTGCTGATATCTCTGAAGGAAAAATGGGCACTTCATGAGGACCAACGTAAAAACCGTTGTTTGGTGTAAGCAGCTGTCGGCGTAAACCGTGGTGTGCTGGCGGTTGGTGTAAACGGTGGTTGGTATACACGGTGGTTAGCGTAGGCTGTGGTCTTGTGTGAGCAGTGGTGGGTGTAAACCGTGGTTTGGTGTAAACAGTGGCGGGTGTAAACCGTTGATTGGTGAGAAAGGTCAGTGGTTGGATAAAACATGTTGTGGTGTAAACGGTGGTTGGTGTAAGCGTGGTTTTGCCTCAGCGGTGGTTGGTATAAAACGTGGTTTTGTGTAAAAGCTGTTTCAGATCTACATCCAATGCGATGCAGCAGCAAATCCAGATCCCAGCAGTATAGCAGTGGATGCGCTGCGCGAATGCATATCTGCATGAGCCGTTGTCCGAGAATTTGCTGACGCACGGTCCGCGTTGCCGATGTTCTCGCAGACCAAATGACCCGCTCCAAATAAGATCCACTTCGGGACGAAAGAGTGGTGGGAGTCTGTGTTGAAAAATCAATTCCAAGGGGAGGGGGGGTGGATTGAACTATAGTGACCTGCTGAAAGATAGAATATTCCCTTGCGAATGAGAAAGAGATAGAATGCCATTTACCCTTGATTGCGGGTAAGAGATAGAATATTCCCCTTACTAATCATTTCTATCTTTCAGCAGGTGGAAATAACTTGCAGAACAGATCCAGAACATTCCAAAACCCTTCGTTTGACCATCGCTCAATAAACTTTGCCGGTACTGCAGCCAAGCTCATAGCTCTTTGGAGTCCCCTCTCATCACTTGGATACCCGCAGGTCTCATAGTGATCTTGTGCAGCAAGTATGGCCACAGTCGGGCTCATGCTCCCTATTTGCATGAACTGTCTTGGGCCGGGCTTGCTGCGCATATCAGAAACTCTTTCTTGCACACGTTGCTTATCGCGGAAAGAGATAGAATAGTCCGGAAGGGGATAGAATATCATTTGGGAATATTCTAAAAAGAATATTCTATCCCTTGGCGGATGTAAAGAAAAATATTTTTTCATTCGAGGGAAAAACCAATGAGAAATATTGTATCTTTAAGCAGCTCACTATATATCTAGTATTAAACACGGAGAAGCCCACACTTGCTTCGCAAGACAAACTCAAGGCATCCCCCTGAGGGTTACCTTGCGTGACCAGATTTAGAATTGAAGTCTAGTGGTGGAGAGAGATTTCTGGAGGCTGGAAGTCTAGAGAGCACGGACATGCAAAAGCATACGCAGCTGCCACGAAATCTGCACCTCCAGGTCCATCACAAAATACTGCGCCCCGCGGACCTAAACTTCCACAAAGTATTGTGCCTGCCACGAAATCTGCACTTCAAGGTTCACACAAAGTCTTGCGCCGGCCACGAAACCTGCACTTCAAGGCTCACGAAGCGTTGCGCCTGCCATGAAGTCTGCACTTCAAGGCCCACAAAGTAGTGCGCCTGCCACAAAGTCTGCACATCAAGAATCACACCGCGCAGCCCTGCCAATGTGATTCGCAACAAGAGCACTTCCAAAGAGAACATGAAGATACCAAAACGCAGCTGTCGCTTGAGACTTCCCCCGCTTTCTAAAACGAGCCACATGTCCCTGCCACAAAATCAGAGCACGCCGAAGACCACCGCCATGTTCAAAGTACTGCGCCTGCCACGAAATCACATCGCTGCAAAGCCGCTCCGATATTGTGGACTTGTCACGAAAATGCTCAATAGACCAACAAAGCACAAGGTTTCCCTTGGGCCTGTCACGAAAATTCATCACAAAGGGCACCACCATCTAATGGTGCGGCCCCCCACTATTAATCAAGCGCACCCTCTGGCCTCCATCTTTTCTTCCACCCCTTTAATCCTGCATTCCTCTCACCCTTGTCAAATAATCCCAATCACAGAAAGTATCACCAACTGGTTTCCCCACAGTCTCATGAAATGGACGGCCATGGATTCCCCATTCAGTTTCCTTTTCATCCAAATCTTCCCAATCAAACCACTGATTGGACACTTGCTCATACACCTCTCATGGTTCACACAGAATCAATATAAATCCAATCAACCATCATCCACCATCCACCATCATCCATCATCGGCTCCAGGTCATCACCTCATCATCCATCGTCAGCTCATCATCACCTTTATTAGGGGGATCTGGTCTCCAATACCTGACCTCGTTGACCCGAAGGGGGGGTGAATAGTTAATCCGGTGTGGACACTAATCCAAACATATCTGTTCCGACGTCTTGAAATAGACCAACCGCATCGGGCCCGGATCTCCATTCTTCAAAGCCCGGAGCATCGCAGAAGGACAACTCCATATCTCCAGCTCCCGCTCAAAAACAGAAGTTGTTCAGATTCTTGATCTCTTCCCTATTTCCGACGTTGCAGTATGTTGTTCCTCCAGCATTTGATGTGAGTGCATTCGCAAAAAGGTGGGAATTTGCAGGTTGACGTTTTAAGTTCAATTGTCTGCCTTAAATTTGATTGGGTGCGTGTGAATCCACGATGCCATGTGGCGACGAGGCTGCGGCATCGACGAACGGCCTCCTTCCGCAACTCGGGGTTGTTGGCCACAACGTTTGCCATGAAACTGGGCCTTGCGAAAAAGACTGAATCGGTCGTCTATATCGTCCGCGCAGGAAATATATTGTCTCAGGCGACAGCATAGTTATACCATACACTGTTTGGTTTTCTCTGTCCAGCCTGAATTAAGACTTGGATGTTCACATTTTGTCTAAGAGCCTGTAAATGCATCCACATGATGTATAGACCTGCAAACACTTTTTCCCACTATGTTGGAAGCGATATGAAGCGATCTAAAAGCAAGCCAACAAATTGACTTAAATGCCAAACAACAGTTCTGGACTCTCAGTGAAGCTTTTAATCTCAAGCGATCAAAGATTTGCGTTGGTGTTTTGCTCTCATGAGACTCTCATAAAATAGACACACACACAAATTGGCATTCAGCTTCCTGTGAAGTGGAGAGTGGGCTTCTTCTTAGAACTAGTCCCAGTCTTCAAATCTGTCAAGGTCACACTTCTCCAAATGCTGCCCAGGGGCACAGCTTCGCACCAGGCGGCTGACCTCTCTCCACCAGGCCTTAGACGTCCAATCGCGGGAAAAAGTGCTCTCGGACATTTGCCTAAGCCAATGAGTGGGGATGAGCAGGGACCAGGAAGCAGGGTTTGGAGTATGACTCCCTCACATCACATATCCCTCGTTTTCGCCCTGATAGGACTTCCTCTGCATCCCTGCTCACTGGTTCTTCAGTCAGTCTCTCTAAAGTGCTCATCCATTTCTTCAGCTTTAGAACATCATTCAAACCTATTGTATAGGTTTAAACACACACACCCTCTACATGTTGTTTCATGTTGTTTCGATACGTAATTTCCTCGCCCTTATGCGTTGACACGCCTCCGGTGCGCAGTGGACACCGCCTGAGCCTCCCGGGCGCCGCCAGGTCGCAGCGCGCCTGCACCGCCAAACGCTCCGGCAAGCCACGGCGCCACCAGCGCGCCTGCAGTGAGCGCACTAGGCCGGACCACATACGTATATCCTGGTCCACAGGGATGTTGAATGTTGAATCGCAGGAAAATATGAATCCTGCGTGTATACGTGAGGGTTTTGTCAACAAAGGCAAACCGCCGAGAGGGTTCTGCACCTGGATCTCCGCGTTCTCCACTGAGAGATTCCGCGCCTCAGCCGGGAACACCCAGCGGCAAAGTGAAAACCGGACTAAACAAAAGCAGTGGGGAGTGGGTGTGAAATCCCACACCGATGATATGTTTTTCCTGCCAGAGCCACCTTGTCTGAGTGAGACAAGCGGCCGTTGGCCCTACCCTATTGAAATGAAAAGTGAAAGACGTAGAAATAAGATGGAACCAAGTATATACTATATATATATACAAAGCCCACAAAGAAATGAATAAAGTAACATGCCTAAGACCTAAGAAATAGAGGAGTCAATCACAAGCACCAGCCAAAGAGAAAATTGGCAAACAAATGCAAAAAGCAACTTGTTCACAAGGAGTCAACTAAAAAGAACGGAAATAGAAGGACATAGTCATAGGCCATGGGTTCTTCACACAGAGTTTTCACATAGAGCAACTTCTGCACAAAGAGAGAAGATTCTGGCGTAATCGCGCTCAGTCAAACGGATGTTCATAAGCTCTTATCTTTGCAACGAGTGTTTCTGGGAGTTAGTCGGTTAGATATATCAAAAGGTTGGGCGTGGAGGCCCCTGTCATGTTGTTGCGCTAAAGACCAAGCTCCGCGGCGGACTCATAAAATGGCCAAGTAGTTTCACACGTTTGGTGGCTAAGACTTCGGTGAGAGGTGTTGTTTTTTTCTGAGCGGGGGTGTCAATGGGACGTTTCTTGTGAATGCAAGCAACATGAGCAGCCGCGAGTTTTTCTGGGACCCGGCGCTCACTCCGTTTTTTCCCTGCTGAGACAAACAAATGATTAGAAAACCTGTCTTTTTCCAGCAAGATTTCGGAAGTTGGTGTTTATTACGTTTTTGTTTATTACTTTTTCCGATGGTGATTCTTAGGAACTTTGAAAACACATTTGCAATATTTTCCGTTATGGTACGAGCGTGTTTTGTTCAACTGGGTAGGCTCTTGGGTTGCATCACACATATCTACACCCAAAGTGATCATGCCTTCTTCTACTATTCCCTCCCATATTTGCCATGTGAACACCTCGTGAGCTGAGAACACCTCGCGCAGGTGAGACATCCTCATGCGCTGATCTTTCGGTCCCAGATTTTCACTCGTCTGCGCATGTAGATGTTGAACTGACCTGTCCACCCAAAACACAGGTGAAGTTGGGGTCCACTTCCAGCGCAGGTCACGAAGTTTGCACTTCAGCAACCTTTCGTCACCTGCACCCCCGGGTTGGGCCCCGTATTTAGGGGCGTAGGGCCCCATCAGGGCGTGGTCCGCTGACCCAACCCATGACCCAAGACCGACTCGTGCCCTAAGTGCCACGACCAACTTCAAGCACGCTGCGGCAGCAAGCTCGTGCGCAGCAATTCTCTCGGGCCTGGGTACGAGGCTGACTTTGCAACGGAAATAAGAGGTGTCACAGGATATAACTTTTTGTTTGAGTTTGTCATAGTAATTACATGTAATTACTAGTCTTTCATAGGATTCTTGTGATGCAGGGGACACTTCGGTTGAGGCCCAAAGTGAGCGTCGGCCAAGGCTGAAACCAACGTCCAAATCCAAACAATCCGACCTGTTGTAAACCCCCAAATTCTCTTTGCAGTTCAGCCATGAAGCATCATCCACCCAAGCGCGCAAATCCAAACGCTCGGTGATTGGTCTTTCATAGGACGGATCCCAGGTTGCACAATTGCTCACATGCCGGATGCACGGCGACTGCACTTGACACAACCAATCCATGCATCACTCACTGCCCCTATCAAGACTGCAGTGTGTGAAACTGTTGCCTTTCTGAAGAGTTTCTGGATTCTCGTTAAAGCAATTTCATCAAAAGCGCCCAAACAATCCAGGCACCACCTGAATCGATATGTCTCAGTCTGCAATTGGTCTTGGAGTCAGTGTCAAAACGAGTGCAATCTGCAGGGCAGTCCCAGCAGCCGATGTGAAAAATCATCGGTAGCCGGTAGCATTCCTCAAAGGGCCATCTGGGCATCCTCCTAGTTCACCAAACAACTCCTTTCTCCAGGTCACGTCAAGGTCTCGCTCTGCAGCCGGACGTTGCCAGCACCTTGGGACGTGGAAATCCAAAGATCGGGGTCCCTTGGCATGGGCGGTCCCCAACGGTCCCCAGAATCATTTTCAGAGGCATCCCTCAGACATCCTAGACTCCTTAGACATATACCGAAGTCCCCAACCGAGGTACTCGAGTGCCATGTTGATGTTCTTTGCATGATGGGGGCCGCCAGCTGACCACCCTCCCTCCCACCCACCTCAAAATAATAAACTTATTATTTTTAGGTGGGTATACCCACCTGAGCATAGAATTATATGGAGGTCATATAGTTCAGAAATAATAAACCACACAGCATGATAAGATAGGGGGGGGGGGTGGTATAGACCACCCACCTAAGTGGGTAGATATATGGGGACAGCTCCTAGGAAAGTGTGCAGTAACAGCAATCGTAGGTGGTTCAAGCACAACCACCTACAAAATAATAATCGCGCCCTCTTTTCTGCCATTCTCTCTCGGTTTCTCTGTGGTACCGTGAACGTCTGTCCAGTCTTTTTGCCTTGATGGGGCAGCCGATCCGGGAGAATATATGGAAAATATTGAGGACAAGCAAGATCTCTGTCCAAGGCAGGTCAAACAATCGCCGTATTTCAGGGGTGGGGCTGGCCTAAGGGACCTCTGAAATAATTAGTAGATCGACTGATTGACTGGAATGTGTGGATAGCGTGATATGGTCCATAAAATTATTTCAGGGGTGGGGTACCCCCTAAACGACCAGTTAAATAATAAATAAGGTGGGGAATGTTGCCAGTATTTGCCACTTATTCCATGGAAAATATGGAAAAGGTTGAAAACATTGAGGAGTTTAGTAGAAGGAACCAGTAAGGGGGGCAAGGCTTACCCCACAGGCATCATTAATAATATTCAAGTAACTATTTATTTTGGGGGTAGATGACAGGTAGCCCACCTGCCAAATAATATTATGTTTGTGCTCGAATGGATGGATCCCAGATAAAGGTAGCCCCCTGATAGGATGGATCCCAGCGAGAATTTGATGAGAGTGTG